CTCCCTCTCTTTATCGGTATCTCTCTCCCTCTCTTTATCGTTATTTCTCTCTCACTCTCTCCCTCTCTTTATCGTTATCTCTCTCTCTCTCTCTCCCTCTCTTTATCGGTATCTCTCTCCCTCTCTTTATCGTTATTTCTCTCTCTCTCTCTCCCTCTCTTTATCGTTATCTCTCTCTCTCTTTCTCCCCCTCTCTTTATCGTTATCTCTCTCTCTCTCTCTCTCCCTCTCTTTATCGGTATCTCTCTCCCTCTCTCTCTCTTTATCGGTATCTCTCTCCCTCTCTCTCTCTTTATCGGTATCTCTCTCCCTCTCTCTCTCTTTATCGGTATCTCTCTCCCTCTCTCTCTCTTTATCGGTATCTCTCTCCCTCTCTCTCTCTTTATCGGTATCTCTCTCCCTCTCTCTCTCTTTATCGGTATCTCTCTCCCTCTCTCTCTCTTTATCGGTATCTCTCTCCCTCTCTCTCTCTTTATCGGTATCTCTCTCCCTCTCTCTCTCTTTATCGGTATCTCTCTCCCTCTCTCTCTCTTTATCGGTATCTCTCTCCCTCTCTCTCTCTTTATCGGTATCTCTCTCCCTCTCTCTCTCTTTATCGGTATCTCTCTCCCTCTCTCTCTCTTTATCGGTATCTCTCTCCCTCTCTCTCTCTTTATCGGTATCTCTCTCCCTCTCTCTCTCTTTATCGGTATCTCTCTCCCTCTCTCTCTCTTTATCGGTATCTCTCTCCCTCTCTCTCTCTTTATCGGTATCTCTCTCCCTCTCTCTCTCTTTATCGGTATCTCTCTCCCTCTCTCTCTCTTTATCGGTATCTCTCTCCCTCTCTCTCTCTTTATCGGTATCTCTCTCCCTCTCTCTCTCTTTATCGGTATCTCTCTCCCTCTCTCTCTCTTTATCGGTATCTCTCTCCCTCTCTCTCTCTTTATCGGTATCTCTCTCCCTCTCTCTCTCTTTATCGGTATCTCTCTCCCTCTCTCTCTCTTTATCGGTATCTCTCTCCCTCTCTCTCTCTTTATCGGTATCTCTCTCCCTCTCTCTCTCTTTATCGGTATCTCTCTCCCTCTCTCTCTCTTTATCGGTATCTCTCTCCCTCTCTCTCTCTTTATCGGTATCTCTCTCCCTCTCTCTCTCTTTATCGGTATCTCTCTCCCTCTCTCTCTCTTTATCGGTATCTCTCTCCCTCTCTCTCTCTTTATCGGTATCTCTCTCCCTCTCTCTCTCTTTATCGGTATCTCTCTCCCTCTCTCTCTCTTTATCGGTATCTCTCTCCCTCTCTCTCTCTTTATCGGTATCTCTCTCCCTCTCTCTCTCTTTATCGGTATCTCTCTCCCTCTCCCTCTCTTTATCGGTATCTCTCTCTCTCCCTCTCTTTATCGGTATCTCTCTCTCTCCCTATCTTTATCGGTATCTCTCTCTCCCTCTCTTTATCGGTATCTCTCTCCCTCCCTCCCTCTCTTTATCGGTATCTCTCTCTCTCTCTCTCTCTCCCCCTCTTCTCTTTCTGTGTGTTACTATCTTATCATGTCCTTCTGAAAATATCTCATTTGACGTGTGTGTCTCAGGTCAGCGGGTCACACACACAAGCGCGTGACGGAGAATCTGGGCGTGACGTATTACGTGAACGAGCGTTTCTCTCAGGACTTCAGCAGCGCGAGTCTGAAACGTGTGGAGAGCAGCGTGGAGGACGACTACATCTCCAACCTCAGGAACAACTGCTGGAAAGAGAAACAACAGAGTATGTGACACACACACACACACACACACACACACTCACACACACACAAACACACACACTCACTCACGCACACACTTACAGACACTCTCACACACTTACAGACACACTCACACACACTCTCAGACACACACACACACACTCACTCTCAGACACACACACACACACTCACTCACACACAGACGCACTCACTCACTCTCACACACACACACACACACACACACACACTGAAGTAATATGTTTGGTCATGTGAAGATCAAAGCAACACAAACTGAAATCATTATGAGTTCAAGTTCACTTCAGGTCTAATAAAAATATATTTTTTGTGGGTAGGTAAGATTAAAAAAAAAATTTTCTCTTCAGCTCACCGAGGCTGCATTTATTTGAGCAAAAATACAGTAAAAATCTGAAATATTATTAAAATTAAAACAGCTGTTTTCTATGTGAATATGTGTTAAACGCACACACTCACAGACACACACATACACATACACACACACACTGTCAAGGTCCAAAAAAAAGCACCATAAAAGTGTCCTAACAGACTCATTCACTGTTTACCAAGTCTCCTGAAGTAATGTGTTTGGTCATGTGAAGATCAAAGCAACACAAACTGAAATCATTATGAGTTCAAGTTCACTTCAGGTCTAATAAAAATATATTTTTTGTGGGTAGGTAAGATTAAAAATTTTTTTTTTCTCTTCAGCTCACCGAGGCTGCATTTATTTGAGCAAAAATACAGTAAAAATCTGAAATATTATTAAAATTAAAACAGCTGTTTTCTATGTGAATATGTGTTAAACTGTGCTGTATTTCTGTGATGCGCAGCTGTATTTTCAGCATCATTACTCCAGTCTTCAGTGTCACATGATCTTCAGAAATCAGTATAATATGCTGATCTGCTGCTCAAGAAACATTTCTGATTATTATCAATGTTGAAAACGGTTTATCAATGTTGAAAATATATATATATATATATATATTACTGACCCTAAACATTTTGAAAAATGAACAAACATTCTCTAAATCATAAGTGAATCATACAGGTTTGGAGTGTGAGGGTGAGTAAATGATGACAGAACTGTTGTTTTTGGGTGGACTGTCCCTTTAAGAGCTTGTTGTAATTGTGTAATCATAACTGAGAGAGTTCTGCCAGATTATTCCAGACTAAAGCAGAATCTCTCTTCATGACTCACACGTCTGAACTCTTCTGCTTTTGTGAACTGAAGCAGATTGGTTTGCTGAGAGCCGGTCAGATTTGGCTGCACATTCTCACTTGCTTTAACATCATTCGCCTCGCGTCCGATGAATCCGCTTGAGTTCTTGAGATATTCGAGGGACGTTCACAACCGTTTCACTGATGATTCACTCATGTTTATTGCCAGCCTGAACAAACAGTGTTTCATCATCTGAGTGGACTTTTGATGTATCCTTTTAAATTCTGTCATGGTGTGCTAATTTATGCACATATGTGACTCTGGACCACAAAAACTCTTAAGTCGCTGGGGGATATTTGTAGCAATAGCCAAAAAAACATTGTATGGGTCACAATTATACATTTTTCTTTTATGCCAAAAATCAATCAATCAATATTTTGTAAATCTCCTACCTTAAATATATCAAAACTTAATGTTTGATTAGTAATATGCATTGCTAAGAACTTCATTTGAACAACTTTAAAGATGATTTTCTCAATATTTAGATTTTTTTGCACCCTCAGATTCCAGATTTTCAAATAGTTGTATCTCAGCCAAATATTGTCCTATCCTAAAAAACCTTACATCAATGGAAAGCTTATTTATTCAGCTTCTTTCAGGTGATGTATAAATCTGATGATGTATAATGATGATGTATAACATTTTGTGTGTGTGTATGTATGTGTGTGTGCGCTTGCGTGCGTTTCAGAGGAGGGTCTGCTGTACCGTGCGCGGTATTTCGGGGACAGTGATCTGTACCAGCGGGCTCAGCGGATGGGAACCCCGAGCTGCTCTCGGCTGTCTGAGGTTCAGGCGTCTTTACACGGATAGATGAAGATCTGGTGAGCGCTGCATCCGTCCTCTGAGTCCTGCTTCACTCACATTCACGCATCTGAAGATGCTTTAATCCAAAGCCACTTTGCTTTCAGTTCATGCATTCCCTAGGAATCAAACATAATCAGTGAAGATTTCTCATTCTCTGGACGTTCAGATAGTTTGTGGTGTCTCAGTATAATGTTCAGAGTCAAGTTTGACGTCCTGTAGAGTAAAAAACCCTTTTAGATCATTATAAAAAAGCGGTTTGCACAACAACAACGCCAACCATTTTTTTCAACCAATGCCAACCTGTGTGTGTGAAAACTGTTTAGATTTTCTTTGCAGCAGAGCGGGGAAAAAAGTAGGAACAATAAGTAAAAAAATCCTGTTTATATTCTTCTCAGGAAATTGATTGATTTTTTACTTCCATCAACAATAAACATATGAAATAAATATGAATAACTGTAAAAACAATAAATATTTATTAAGGTTTAGTAATAAACTGAAAAAGAAAGTCACCTGGAAATAAAAAACATATATATATA